GGGATATCCCAGTCTGCCCCCTTCGAGGATTGCACCTGCGACCTGGGGAACAAGCAAATATGGCCATCCGATATGGACAATGTCGCCCGCTCCAAGAAGTCGTATGGACAGGACGAGGTGACCAATGGGTCACCCAAATTGTCTATGGCGCACGATCGTGGGCTGTAGCGATTAAGGTGGTCAACGGTTCGGACCGAGAATGTTGGAACAAGCCTAGGATACCCGTTGCTCGAATTGCAGAGTATGGGAATATCCCCATAGTTGGACAGTTCGTGCGCCCTGGGTTACGAAGGTATATGGAGTGGCAACAGATTATTCAGGAGAACACGTTGTCCGCGAAGGCAAGGGGAAGCGTATGAACAACAGATGCTTCGGGATGCGGCTCCGCCTGCAGTCATGGTTCCCAGGTACAAGTGGCCAACAAAGTTACTAGTGAGGCCAAGGCAACCTGAGCGAGCCCAGGTTACGAGGATTGTGGAAGAGTTGCTACCGCAAAGAGACACCGATGGCGTGGAATTAGCTGAGGATGCTATGCTTGGGGCATACTCCCCGAGCGTGATTGGTTCGCTTATGGCTGTCGGAGTTTCGCAGGAATCTGTCACCCTGAATGCCGACATCCAGGATGACGGAGAGGTTGCCAATTCGGAATCCTGTGGAGAAGTCCCAGACGAGATGGTCCAGGGATCTGAATGTGACGTATTCCAGGATGACCTGAGCGCAGAGGACGAGGATTTCGAGTTACCTTCGTCTGCCATGTCTGGAACACCACTCGCAAGACTTGATGCGGTATATGCCAGGTGTATGCGAGTGAGCGCTGAAGAACTCGATTTGGAACCAGCAGTTTATATTCGCGAAGGGAGTGAGCTCATGTCCCAATTGAAAGATCAGTTAGTTATGCTACCTGACTTGGAGGATCTCTCTCCTGAATGTGACATTGAGGCCGCTGACGTTGGGGAACCTGGTGAGAGCACGGGGGCTCAGGAAAAGCAGCTGAAGTCCATCCTGAAAAGACACAAGAGGATCTTCTTAGGTGACGGGAACGCTGCCCCGCCCCCAGCGAGGGGCGCCATCTGTGATTTAGATGTGGGTGATGCCAGGCCAGTTGCCCAACGACCCCGATCGGTTGGTCCACACTTAGCAATCAAGGTGTACGAATTGCTGAAGAAGCTCCTGGAGGCTACACTGATTGAACACTTTGAATCACCATGGGCATCACCAATCGTGATCGTACTCAAATAGAATGGAGTGGACATTCGGATGTGCATCGACTATCGAGTCGTGAATAGTTTCATTCAATTGTCGAACTACCCACAACCGCTGATCGACGATCTCATTACCGGTTTCGAAGGAATGATGTGGTTTATGAGTCTTGACATGGCAAGCGGCTTTTGGGCAGTCCGAATGACTGAAAGAGCTAAGCTGATATCGGCGTTCACCTGTCCATTCGGGCATTTCCAATGGGTGCGTATGCCATTCGGGTTGAAAAACGCCCCCCTAATTTACCAGCAGATGATAAATAATTGCCTGTGGGGATTTGTACGGCTATCACCCGAAGAGGAAGCACTCGTGGACCAGG